TAAACCAAGTTTTGAAATGAAATAGTAAGTATCGGTCGGCTACGGCACCGGAATTTAGTACCTCTGCTGGGTTATTGCCGGCGTAGAGGAGAGCTCCAATTGGTCTATGACTATATGCCCAATGGAAGTCTAGACAAATTCCTATACAACCAACCGAAATTCACCTTGAATTGGAGCCAAAGATTTCAAGTCATCAAAGGTGTAGCATCTGGACTGTTGTATCTACATGAAGGGTGGGAACAAGTGGTGGTTCATAGAGATGTCAAGGCTAGTAATGTCTTGTTAGATGCTGAATTGAATGGAAGATTAGGAGATTTTGGTCTTGCAAGATCGTATGATCATGGAACTGACCCTCAAACTACCCACATGGTAGGAACTTTGGGGTACCTAGCCCCTGAACATACCAGAACCAGCAAAGCCACCACAAGCACCCGATGTATATGCTTTTGGGGCCTTTTTGTTAGAGGTTGCTTGTGGAAGACAACCAATAGAGCCATGAGCATCAAGTGAACACGAACTCATTTAAAATTAATTTGGTGTTTTCTTGCTGGAGCACAGGTGAGATTCTTTAGGCAGTTGATCCAAATTTGGGCACCAATTATGTAGCACAGGAGGTGGAGTTGGTATGGAAGCTTGGGTTGGTGTGCTCATCTTAATGTTCAATATCCTCTTACTCCATTGCCTCATATCTCTGCTGTTGGAATTGAATTGATTGTCAATCTGAACTATGTTTGGGGTAGGCCAAATAAGTACATTAAGTAGGGTGACTTGATTGATAAATATTGACTTTGGAATTTGATTGCTGTTAATAATTTGCTGCCTCAGTCTTAGAAAAACCAGATTTATACAGAAAAAATATACTGTACTCTTTGGGAATGGGGCATACCATTGATCTACCTATGTTGATAATGAATCAGATGATATTGACTGTGAATAATAAGAAACCCTCACTCCCATTTGCTGTTTTAGTTTCTAATTTGTGTAGACACAAAGGAGTGATATCCGATCCCTCATGGCCTACTGTGAAAAGGTTGGCACCTCTAAACAAGACATCATTAAAAATGAGCCATGGAATCCAGGCAGAAGTGTAGCAAAATGTACCACCTATGCCACCAATAGACCCATTCCAAGAAGAAGCAGATTTTCCGCCACCAGAAGTACAGCAGCAGGAAGAGGAACAACCCTATATCTCGATAGATGATCGGACTGACAGACAAATTTTGTTAGGTCTCAAGACGAGGATGATCCGTTTTGACCATGAAATGACCTAGTACGAGGAGAATCAAAGAGAGATCATGAGACAACTTAGGAGAGGATAGAGTGGTGGCCCATCGACATCAACATAGTCAGTCGGGTTTCTCTGGGATATATTTCTACAACTCTCTCTTCTTTTCTCAGACTGTTTACTTTTATGCATTATTTTAAATACTTTGGATGTTGTTTTTGGGAATTTGGTTGTATGTTTTTAATATTAGTTTAATTTTAGTTGGTTTATGTTGGCTTAGTATTGTTTTGTTAAGATGAATAATTCATATAATTCATGTTAGGATTACTCTGTCATTTTATCTACTTGCAGGTATAACCCTAACCGAATCATAGGGGAATTACATACTCTATTTGTGCATTTGTTTTTATATTTTCATATATAACTTACTATTTTGTGCACAAAATGATTTTCTATTTTGAAATTTTTTTTGAAATACCATGATCCTTTGTAACATGCATAGTGGAGATGTAAAACCCCCGATGCAGTTTTTGAGTCTATCTTCTTTGGAGAGTTTTAAACGCTTACTCAAGTAAGGATTTCAGTTCAACATAATATTTATTTGAATAATCCCATTAAAATTGTTTTGATTAGCACTGATTGAGTGACATGTTAGCATTCTCCTATATAATTCTTACAAGAATTATGCATGTGTATGCATTTTGGAAAATGATTCTAGACCATTTATGATTTTATTTTGAGCCGTGTCCATTTATTTTGTAAAAATATATCCCTAGTAAGTCGTGATTGAGCTTAAATAACAAATTTTCTTTTCTTTACCCCATATGTTGACTGAGTCAAGAAGAAATATTTATCTAACCCTCACTATCTAAATTTCTTGCACCCTCTCTTAAAAAGATATTATATGGAGAAAGAAAAAAAGAGAAGTATGATGTGAAAAGAAATGAGAAAATGAAGAAAAGAAAGAATGTGTGGGGAAAAGAATGAAAGAAAGAATGCAAAAGAAAGTTTTGTGTCGGAAAGAAGAAAAAAAAAGCAATTGAAAGCCCGAGATTGAAAGAAATAAAGAAAAATGTTGTTGCTTTTGTAAAGTTTGGAAGTTAATAGAAGATGTGTGCTTACAAAAATAAAAAGGATAGCTTTTGAATCCCTTAAATATCATTTCTTAAACCTAACACCATTGGCCACGTTATAACTCTAATAAAATCCTTTTTGATTCCAAAAGTCATGCATATGTATTGTTCTCAATCATTCGTTATAAGGGAGAGTGTTGATAATGTTATTTGATATAGTGTTAATATTCTTTTATGAGATTACATCAAAATTTCAGTTTTATTCGAATAACCTTCTTTTGGAATATTATATGTGTCATTACTTTGCTTTGTTTACAATGTTATTATCACATGTAATTTTTGAGTGATAGTCACTAAAACTTGAGTGTGTTCTTTGTTGAGTGATTTGTAGGAAAGGATTGACTTCAAAGCCAAATTTTATACAACTTAGTGAAGGACTGTGATATTTTTAAAGTACTTTTGAGCTGGAGAAAATCCACACCCACACGCAAGTTTTTTATGAAAATATAATAAATAGTGTTACAAATGTTATGTGTTACTCTTATAGTGATAAGGGAAGACATAATATTCTGAAAGAGGGATATAATACTGATTTAATCGTATTGTGAAAAATCTGAGTTATTTTATCTTAACTATTGAAGTTTGTAGGTATCTTCACTGCAAATCTTCCACTGAGATCACCAAGGGGTTTAAAAGCTTATTGCATAGGCTAAATGCAATCAAAAAACTTACGAAAGTGATTTTTGTGTTTTATGTTTTTGTTACTAGGGACTAGTAATGTTTGATTGAGGGTGTGATTAACCCTAGAAAAGTACGAAAATGAATTAAGGTTTATTATTGTCTATTTTATACTTCCCTAATCACATGCGATTGTATCATATTTGATTGTATTCTTGTTATTTTATTATATTTTTATAATTGATTATTAATTAATATATTAAAAATCATGATATTTTCCTCAACAATTATATTCTCAATGTATTTGATATATTGTATTTCTATAATTATGGGTGAAAATAAACATGCAAGAAGGTATAGTAAAATCTCCGCATAATAGGACATTAAGAATCAAGCATGAGCTTTGTCATACATCAACCTCTTAGTCGGTAGACTCTTGAAAAAATTGAGGATGATCGATTAGATTAGACTTATTAAATCATTTTTAGAGTTATACCTAAATCTGCTAAAAGTAAAATTCCTATTCGGTCTGAGGGTAAGTTATATTTAAATTTCAACTAATGTTTAGTTTTGTATAATTTAACCGAAGCATAGTCTAAATTTAACTTCGATGAATTAAATTTAAACTCTGATGAATTAAATTTAAACTCTGATCAAAATCGAATCTAACTTCGATTTATAAAGTGGCTTATTCAGGACACTCAGATGGGAGACTAGGTAGTTTGCACAAAGTGGTTTATATTCAGCATCATAAGCGTCTTATCTTTTGGTTTTCGCTTAGTTTTACTTCAATTGTGAGAATAGATTGATATATTCCAATTTTATACTCGATTGTGCATTGCATGGGATCAACACTAATAATATATTATGTAATTCAAAATTTATAATTTACATAAAATTATTATTTAATAAAAATGAGAAGCAGAGTCGGAGTTTTGAATTTCAAACTGGATCGGATTTTTGGGTTTTTTACACAGCCCTATACACTACATAAGATTTGAAAAAAAAAAAATCGATTTGGTGTGTTGGAGCTGACGGCAGAAGAAATAGGCTCCAAGTGAGCTAAGCAACAACTTAGTAAAGTAAACGTAAAAAAGCAAAGCGAAGGAGTTTGGTTTGATTATAAGTTTACTAGGGATAACACGTGTCTGAAGGTATAGTGCAACTAAAAAAAAATTAAACATTAATTTTGAACGCGAAATAATCATAAATTGAAAAAAAATATTGAATTGCTCGTCTACAAATTGCATCAATTGTAACTGATGCACACCACCTTGACAACAATAAAGAAGGAAACTTACAAAAAGAACGAAAAAAAAGATAGGAGCAAAGCTGACCAGTAACCGGTGCACACCAGTCTAGTAATTGTTTGTGCTTGAGGGCACTATGTAACAATAATAAAAAAAAAACATTTCAACAGTATGAAAAAAAATAAGGATGTATGAAAAAGTTGAAATTGATAATGTTATAATTTCAGTAAATGTCATAGGCAAAGAATGAAGTTTAGTAAATCACCGTTGTCACCGTGACGCAACATAAAAAATAAGAAATAGGCTCCAAGTGAGCTAAGCAACAGCTTAATAAAGTAAAAGTAAAAACGCAAAGCGAAGGAGTTTGGTTTGATTATAAGCTTACTTCCAAAGCCCCGCAACCCATTTGGCGGAGCTTTCAATCTTGTAAGCGTGAGCACGTCCCTCGTTTTCATCGACCCACCTAATCTCTCTCTTCACTTCCTTTAAATCTTCCCCCCCCCCCCCCCTCTTTATGTGTCTCTCCTAGTCTAAAAGAGTTTGATCAAAATCTAACCTCGTCACAATTCTCAAACATTTCAAAGGTATGTTTCTACTCCTCCCTTCACATTTGTGTGTGTGTCAGATCGAATGACTATATCTTCCTTATGCCTGCCGTGTAATTGTAAATTCTCAACAAATTACATTATTTTTTTTTTCAATTGAGTTTCAATAATGTGTTTGTTACAGTTGTTAGGCAGCATTTTCGCCTGATTTGATTTGATTCATCTGAGAATGGACTCTGCGACCATGACATTTTGCACCAAATCCGTCTACTCGCCTCCAGTAAGATTCCTCCTTCTCATCTTTGTGTGCACAAACGTTTGTGCATGTTCCTTTTTATTTTCTATGTTTTTTCTGTGTTTTTTTTTTCCTGTTATGGGCGCCATTATCCAAGCCCGGAGGTTCTGAATTGTTGTTTCTTTCAATCTTTGAAAATTCTATTCATTCACTGTTCCGTCATAATTTGTTAATTATTATATAATGACTTCATCGGCGCAAATGCTTCCTCCTTACACACGTAGGTCAACTTCAGTAACTTTTAGATTGAGCTGTGATTTGAGTTGTGCTTCCAGTTAAAACTTCTGCTATGGTCCTGGAATTATTCCAGGAGTTCAAATAATGGGTCTGATTTGAAGTCTTATTTATTATTATCATATACAGTCTTAATCATTGACCAACAAAAAAACATTCAGTATTAATCTGCATTTAGTGATTATTGATGATGAAAATGCAGTAGATGAAGCCGGCCTAGTTTTTGATAGGCTATTTGTTTTGTATGACAATGCATGGAAATTTTAGCATATCTTTTTGTGGTGAAATTGGAGAAAGGTGAGAATAGTCAGCTACTTTTCTGATAGACAACAAGGGATGCCACTGTGATTAAAAAGTTAACATGTTCTTTCTCATGTGGTGCCATAGTAGTTATAGGCATGGGGAAAATTAACTTTGGTAACTTCTTGAGAGGCCTTTGTGTTGTTGAACAATCCATGTAAAATTTTTCACATTCTCCAACGTTTAGCAAGTTGACATAAAAATGTTTTCCAATGGTGGCCGGTGGAGGAACCTGGGTCGGTTCCAGAGCATTGTAGTAGACATAAGAATGTCTATTGGAAATTATAACATGAGGTCAAGTGAATACATCTGTGCCTCTTATTTGTTTTTAGTTTTAAATAATCCATTTTATGTGGACAACCTGGTGCGCTTTTACACTGGTGCAGGTTTTCTTTAAGTATCACATGAACAGCTTTGTGGCTTTTAGCTTTTTTTTCCGAGTTTCTTCACAGTTTACTTGAGTTAAGTTAACAACATCTACAACTGTCTGATAACAGGGTTTATTTTTGGGGAGAACCATAGGGATTAGGAGCTCTCAATGTAGCTTTATGTTGGGTACTAGGGTGCACTTCCCTCAGCAGAGAGCTCCGGCTTCTCAAGTCAGTCATAAATCTGGGAAACATGGAGGAGCACTTGGTGCTACATGTCGAGACGATAAAATCTTGGTGGCAAACAGAGGAGAAATTGCTGTTCGTGTAATTAGAACTGCTCATGAGATGGGAATTCCTTGTGTTGCAGTCTACTCGACCATAGATAAGGATGCACTTCATGTGAAACTCGCTGATGAATCAGTTTGCATAGGTGAAGCACCGAGTAGTCAATCGTAAGTCACCATAATTTCCTTATGCTCTCTTCTTTTTGTTCTTCTTTTTTTGGAATCACTGCTTATGCTTGTTATTTATTTGCATCATCATTTTCATTGTTGTGAATCAGTTTGCATAGACGAAGGTTGATAATTCTTTAAATGTTCCTTTCTGTTACGACTTTTGGTGTTTGTTTCATCCCTAGCTTTATCTATGGCATAGTGCCGTACAATGTTGTTGTTTTAAGCTAGTAGTAGTTCTCTCTCTCTCTCTCTCTCTCTGCTACTTAAATGTTGCAATGATACAAGAAGTCCTATGGTTGACAATAGAAGAAAGCCAGAAAGGCTCAACGGCGCCAAGATCAGGTATTTTTTGTTCTTCTAATCTGTTTAGGAATAACGGTCGCTTGGCATGGAGTTAAGAAGCACATGGGGAATGCATGATCTAGTCGAGTGCTACAAAGTCAAGGGAGACACTCCATGCTTGACATGCTTTGTGAATCCCATTTAATGCATTGAAAATGAACATGTTTTCACTAAAATCATCTGATGTTTATTACTCGTACTACTGCTTTACCACTACAGTGTGTCAGTCCTTTTTCAGGTTAAGTGTATGAAAATCCAGTTACATGTTAGTTGAACAAATACATATAGCAGTCTTTTGGTACTAAATTTATATTTGGTACGACTACTCACTAATTAGGGCATCACATCCCTATCATCCAAACATCAAAAAGTCTACGACCAAGTAGCACTGAAAGTTACTTCTTGTACAAACGTTAGGAACTAATTTATAGAGACACTGTATTGTTACTTCTTGTCTTTCTACTAGGCCGCTCACCATATGGTTTGCTTTTGATGAAGATGTCAATTTTGGTATATTCTTTGAGAGGACAAAACAAAGGTTGGTATGATTAATTCAAATGAAACTCAATGTTTTTAGTCGATCCACAATAGTGTGATCCTGAGTCAATTTGACATGTGGTATGCGGTATGAGTCGTTGCGCGTAGAAACCATCAAAACCAGTTCATTGAAACACCCTATCACCGCTGGTTTTCTTTATTCTACTAGGATTCTCACCATAATGGCTTGCGTTTCGTCTATGCTTTGTGAAGTGGAATGAAACTCAATGTTTTTAGTCATGCCATACATTAGTGTAATCGAACATAATACGAGTAAGGGTATGTGGTAGGATAGTTTCTCCGATATGCGGTGTGATAGGGTTAGATTTTGCTGGCACGTTGTTTTGGATTGATGTGTGCTTTGGAATTCTTATTCAGATCACTTTCATGATTATACAAAATTGCTTATAATTAGACATTTGTAATCCAAAAATAGTGTACTAGTTAGTGGTTATGAATAATAGAGGTCAATGATTACATATTTATATTATGAAAAATATTCAATTCACAAAAAAAACTAATATATAAGTTTAAGGGTCACTAAAATAGAAACCCTAAATCTTGTAATGCTTGGAGTACCTATGATTTCGGTATCCTACACTAAAGTACACATACTCTCGTAATATAGAAACACGAAACATGTATCATGTTTTTCCATACAGCACATCTACCTTCTGTAAGATTACCCAGTCTATTGACCTAGTTTCTAGCTTCTACAACTCAATTCGATTTGATAACCTATACCTTTATCCCAATTCCAAATTCCTCGATGACAGACTTTACTGTCAACAAATTTGGTCCACCCATAACCACTTTCCCCTTTCTGAATAATCACACATTTTTTTGCCATTACTATGAAGCTTCAACACCTTCCAAAAATACCTTTTTGATTCTTAAATCATTTTCATTCACACAAAGTAAGAATAACTCATATCTCTAAAAAAGCTCCCTTATCCAATTTCATAGCTTCCCTTGTAAAATTCCCAAGCCAACTTGCACACCCACATTTACCACAACATGGAAGTTCTCTTGCCAACTTCTCAAGGTGATACGAATTGCTTTATGTCGAGAATTCTGATCAAGCTCCACCAAAACAATATTTTGTTCAATCTTCATTTCATCACTGATTGCTTTGTGATGGGATTTCTTGTCAAGCATCACCATAATTTTTTTTTTGCTCAATCTTCATTTCCATTACTCAAGTTATTTTGAGTAGTTCTAGTTTCTGAAAAGTTAATTTTCTTCTCAAATTAGAATAACAAGCATGTGAATTATAGACCTCAGGAGCAACATCGATGTACGTGCTAATGTTTCGATGGCGAACAAGTGCTTGTTGTTAGGTGTGATGAGTTGAGAACTCTGCCCACGTTTGAATGAGCTCAAAGTTGACTAGCCAGTGGAAGGTGCAAGAAAGGTGAAAGTAGAACCTAGGCCTCTCAATAGTGATAGGTTTGTAAGGATATGATATCCTTGTGCTGGTGGTACTAAATGTAGCTTTTTCAATTTCGATTGGATATAACCTAATCTATCACAATTACCTCTTTCTCAAAAATCAATTTAGCAATTAAAAATTTATAATCCCTTAACAAGAATAACCCATGAAACCCATAAAGATTGGTATAATGAGTTTGTCAATTTTATCGATTGATACTCAATCTCTTGTGACAATCCAACCCAAGGTAATCAACTTACTACCAAACCACTATGCATGATAAGAATGCTTAATCAATCATATCAACAAATACATAGTGCTTGTATTTGCAACAAATCATAAGTGTGTAAAATAAATCAATAAAGAACACTAGTGATTTATTGATATGAAAACCTTTCTCGTAAAAAACCGCGGAGAATCACCTGTGGTTCACCAAAACCTAATTCACTATCCCAATCAATCTACCAGTCCTCTACATTTATTCCTTGGCCAATACAATGGTTAGATGTTTTTTTTTTCAATAGATCTCTCTGCCAGATACACCCATCAATCTCGTTGACAACTTCACTTGAACTCTACGCCGCATAGTTTGTTTAGGCCTCGAGCATTCTTAGGACACGCCCAAGAATCTCGGTATACACACTCTTCAAGTGGGTTTAGTAGAACCAAATAAGTTCTTCTTCTTCTTTAAGGTGTGATCCTATTTCCTTGGTCTCTGGAGGGATTAACTAAAAAGCTTAAGAGCTGAACCAACTCCTCAGTCCAATAAGTTAATTTAGCCCTTAGGCTCTCTTACTCGATAATATTTACAAGGGGAAGCCTTGAATGACATACGAGTGCAAGTCCGATACAGACTCATTCCTTACAAACTTTCGGGACCAGCTTGCTACATACAATCGAGTCCTAAAACCATAGCTTAAGAAAATTAGGAGAAATGGAGGAAGCTCCATTCCTAGAGTAACTTCATTTCGAACTGCATTTCTTAAGTTTTACTTTCCTCCCTTACAATCCCTCTGGATGGTGGACCAAAATAGAGTCTGGCCCTCGGGATTGGATAAGAATCAAAAGATGGGTTTAGCCTTTGGATTTACGGATCTAAGGTTCTTGCTCAATGATCTCTCAAGATTTTGAGACAAGAAAACAAGCTCACAAGAAAAATACCCTAGCTTGGGAAGATTCCTCTATTTATAGGTTCGGAATAGGATTTGTCTCGGGGACAAGTAAATCAAAATTCATGAACGATCATTTGAGCAGTAGGAGGGCAGTGGCTGCTAAAATGAAAAGGAATTCAAATCAAGGTAGTGAAGCAGGGACCGCTCGAGTGACCTCATGACCGGTTGAGGCGTTTGAAGGCTGCTCAAGTGGCCTTGCGTGACCCATAGGGGGGTCTCCATTGTCTTCATTTAGCCTTTTTCGATTTTATTCCCAAGTGTTCAGAGACTACGCTAGCGAAGGCTAGGGCGGTCCCTACTGTTTTTAAGTTAGAAACCAAAAAAAATTTGTCCCCTTGAGCATTAATGGGTTATGCTCAAGTGGGATCCGATTAATGATTCAAATCTATGTTTTCAAAATGCATTTAAGGTTTATAAATACTTTTCTTTGGAAAACACCTAGGGGTCATTAACAAATCAATCACCGATTCCATTTTATCTAGTCAACCTAAGTCTAATAAATTATACCAAGGGTGCTAAGGTTTATTTGTCATTATCTTGTCCTAAGTAAGAAGGTGCATACAGAGAATCTCATGATGTCTCTTGGAGCACAATCTCCTTTCTTCCATTGACGTTTTTAGATCTTCAAAAAATATCATGGAAGAATGAAATAAGACAAGACCCAAATTTGTCTTTTAGAATTGCCGACAAAGTTTTCAAAAATTGAAGCAATGGAAAGTAAAAATGCAATTGTTACATCATTCGTAGATGATTAGTTTTAATCAATTTCTTCTTTAACTTTCATTTTCGAGCAGTTGTAGAAACATCTATCTACATACACGTTAGCCTAATGTTTTATTTATTTCTTCTCTTATAAGTTTGCCTTTACCACCACCGTCATGTATATATCTCGCTCCACTTGGATATGAGATATTGATGTTACATATCATATGACTAACATTCATTTTTCTTTCTTTCTTTCTTTCTACCTCATCTTATAGTTTGGTTGGAAAAAAATGATGGAATTCTTGTCGACAAGATCGAGCTTGAAAATTTTTCATGGAATAGAGTTGAGTTTTTGGATTCTCTTTGGCCATCAGGTTTTAATGAATATTTGGATCTCCACCTATAGAATTTAATATTTAACAATTTGAAACATTGAAAATGTCTCAGATTGTTGGAAGGGACAAAGATGAATTTTTTAAGCAATGTTGTACTCTGTTTTGAAAATATGTTGTTACTGTGGGCAACGGCCCTTAAAACACAGTATCAGAGCGCCTGCTCCGATGCCTTTACGAGATCATAACGGTATTGTATAGGGCCGTTACCCTTCCTGTTACAACCTGAAAATTAATCATATATTCGTTGCTATTGAAGGTTCTGCAACTCCAGATAAGAGTGATAGCTTTGTGGATCTTGTACATTCAGACCAAAGCGGAATTCTTGCATATTAGTTCGTTGATTATGAGAGTGAGAGAAAGTTATGTTAGCAAAGAAAAAGGGAGAGCTCGTGTGGGGAAGTGAAAGAAAGAGACGACTCTCTGTGAAGAGACAACTTTAATTAGCCATCTGTCTTGTTAATTGGTATTGTCTTTTAATTAGACACTTGATGTTGTAGTCCAAATCCAACTGTGCTTGGCCTCTCGGTTTTATGAAGACTCATGTGCAGAACTGTTGGGACGATGGGTTCAAATTCTTAAGAATTGGGTATAGCTAAAGGCTATTTAATCCATGCATAATATATTAAGCATCTCTATGATACAACGTAATTTACTACAACTCTTTAAAAATCTATGCTTTGTGTAGTTTTGGGCTTAAAATATATAGAGATTTAATTTTGAGGAGGGAGTTAATCCAAACGAAAAATTCACGTTTCCAGTTTTTGGTACTAGTACATAATGCCCATTACGTCCATCTTATTCACAATTTTCTTAAAGCCCACCCTTTTGTGGTCCTACATTTTGTGGTGGTGTAGGAGAAGTTGAGCGCTATGCAATGATATATATCAGACAGAACTACTATGCTACCTCTTGTGAATATTGTTATTGCATATTTCTTCCCTGTAAAAGTACATTTAGTTTCGTGTAATTTCTCCCCAGTTCCTGTCATACTTATAGTAAGGTATGCCTACTTTCCTTTGTCTTCTTGCAGGTACCTATTGGTCCCAAATGTCCTATCAGCTGCTATTAGCCGTGGATGTACAATGCTACATCCAGGATATGGTTTCCTTGCTGAGAATGCAGTTTTTGTCGAAATGTGCAGAGAGCATGGAATCAATTTTATTGGACCAAATGTAAGTTCTTCAAATCAAGATGTTCATGATATAGGGTGGCGTGCATGCTCTTTATCCCTTAGTTCCTTCAATAACTACGTTCATGTGTGCTCATATTTGGTCAGTTTGCACATATTTTAGGGGTTCTGTAACTATCCAACAAGATGTGAATAGGGAATTAGTTGGCTAATGTTCCCCTCAATCCATATTAGAAGTTATATGCCTATGCAGTTCAGTTCGCTGCTGTTGTTGGTGAGGTAAAATTTGATAATGAGTTGAAACTCAGTCTTAGTCCAAGTTGATATACCTATGCTTTGTTAGTACTACCAAAGCATCTTAAGAGACCCTTGGCTTACGGGAATTTTTCACTGAGCAGCTTGGTGAAATAATTACTGTGATTACCTTCTGAAAGAAAAATAATTAATTACTATTCTTACACCCTTATGTAAACAGGCGGGGGGGGTAGTTTTCTTTTCTCATTATCATTGAAATCCTGCAGGTACCAGTTACTTGATTCCATAACTAGAATCTAGTCTTTTGGCTTATGCTTCATTCCTGAAGTTCAAGCATTTTATCTTGGAATATGGTTTCACAGAATAATGAGCTCTGGTCTGGTAGTCGCTTTTTACTGTGACATACAACTTCTTTTAATGATTTGTGGAATGTGATTCCATTCCACTAAGTTCTTCATTTAGGTCAGTGCTGCACGAGAATATAATACTGGTTCTGATACCTATTTGATATGCTTGTCAGCAATCCTCTAATTTGGCCTTGTTGAGAAGGAATTATTCTGATCTTCTTCTCAGTTGAGTTTTAAAATGTATGAGAGATAGCATTGATGGAAGGAATTCAATGACTTCCCAACCATGACTGATTCATGCACCCTGCTCTAAGAGAAAAGCAGGGAAGAACCAAACCAATTGATTTAAAGCATCTTAGTCTGTCCCCCCCCCCCCTACCCCCCCACCAAAAAAAAAGGGAATGGAGAAAAACAGAGCTAAATACAAATGCACCTCATCCACCTTCAAACTTGAGCTCTGGACCTTTTGAGAGTGACACCAACTTCTACTCAAGCTAAGAGCTGGCATTGACATGTTTAATGGTTTTACAAGTTCATATGCTCAATCGAAAAAGATTGAGTGAATGCAACCTTAAAGGTGTGAAATACTGTACTCTGATCTTCCCCTTCTCTTATACATGAAGATGTCCTTATATATTCTTAATGATTTACATTTCGGAGAATTTATTATGGCTATCTAATATTCAAAAATCCATATATCTGGCAATAGAATTGGATTTTTAATTTGATGATTTTGTAGCCTGACAGCATTCGCATCATGGGTGACAAGTCAACTGCCAGGGACACCATGAAGAATGCTGGTGTTCCAACTGTTCCAGGAAGTGATGGATTGTTACAGGTATTAATGCTGATAAGCATTCCAGCCTCATGATGCTGAAATATATTTATAATAAAACATTCAAATTTGCCAGTACTTATGGGTTTCAATTATAATTGGTGTCATTTTAGAGCACAGAAGAAGGTATCAGGCTTGCTGATGAGATTGGTTTCCCTGTGATGATCAAGGTAACTTTTCTCATATTTAGTACTGAAATCTTCCACGCCTAAACCATGCGGGGTTGCAATGCAGACCCATATCTCTATATAGTCTTACTTAAAACAGCCGACTAACATTATGCTAGAAGATTTAGCAGTCTTGACACCTACTTCTAAAATTGAGTGCCATCTTTTAAGCTTTCAGTGGTTACGCAATGTGACAGACAGTTTGGTCACTTGTTCCAATCTGTGGTTGAGCAGTATACTGTTGGTAGTGTCACTTCCCAGAATGGTGCTGCCTTCAGTCACTGACGTAGCAAGTGACATTTGATTAAATCTCGTGTTGCCTTGCCAAGGAAAGTTTGGCAGCATCTCCTCCTGTACGCTCTGTTCCGTAACAGGCTTGCAATTGCAATAATTGGATTTCTCATAACAAAAATAACTTTTTGTAGTGTTGCATTTCTTGTTTTTCAGTTCCTGCTTTCGTATTTAAAATTGCTCTCATGAGGTAATACCTAATAGACCATTGAAAGTAACAACATAACTGCATAGGAAATTTAAAGTTATCCGCATTCCTGTACTTCTTAAGTGCTACTTGTTTTATTGTCTACAATACTAGTGATCAACTGCAGAGGTTATAAATTTAGACATTCTATAGACGTTGAGTTTTAAATTGTTTATTCATGGTTGGAATGATTTGAAAAATATGGAGCTACAATTAGGTGACAAGTTTACATGATTTTGTAATGCTCTATGTTCCTAGTGTAGCTAGCAGACAGAAAAAGGAATATGAACTTACACAGGAGGATAGAGTGGTTGTTAAAAGATTTCATCTTCGCATCTCTTTGTGACTGGGGAATCAAATTGTTGAAAAAGTGGAATGTTATTTCTAATTGCATCATGAGGCTGAGTGTAACTCATGAAAACTTTATGTTGTGAAGGCAACAGCTGGTGGAGGAGGACGTGGAATGCGTCTTGCTAAGGAGCCTGATGAGTTTGTGAAACTGTTACAGGTATTTCCTACCTGGAAAATGTTCCTTTTGAGTTGCTTCAGCTAAAGCCTTGACCTGTTGGCCTTTTTTCTAAGCACTTTCTTTCTCACAATGTTGCATGTTGTCCTCATTATACGATCTATATGTGGTATGGCTGCTCATGTGGTCTGTTCAAAAAACTACTATTCTTCTGTCAGCATCTTGCTTACCCTTTCCACTTCTTGCAATCTTATTTATACACCCGCATGCAGTGATGTACAATTTTGTGTATTTTGTAGAAGGAAGAATGCATTTTATATATATTCTTGGTTGCAATGGCAATTTTTTTGTCTCTTTTACTTGACTATGTTTACTGTAATTGGTTCCAAAGAACTACAAAGTCCAGATGGACACTAACATGTATCTGTTGACTAGGATTTGCCCAACTATCTCAGATGAAGATTGTTTGAACTGGGATTGGTTTGAATTGTTTATTTTGCCAGCAAGCGAAGAGTGAGGCTGCAGCTGCATTTGGAAACGATGGTGTCTATCTGGAAAAGTATGTTCAAAATCCAAGGCACATTGAGTTCCAGGTAATTCTAGTCTGTTGCGAGTTTTCGCAGCGTGGAGATATTATATGTACTGGAATTCTAGATGTAATCCTCACATAGGAAATTTAAATCTTGTTCTTAAAATTTAAATAATTATGGTAAAACACAACAAAAGGAAGATCATTATAAGCATCTGACTCATGTTATGGGAATGAGGTCAAAGGATTCTATGTGAAATCTTTGTTACAAGAATTAGGACCAAGAGATCAATTAAAACAGCTGAATTGTTCCATTTTTTTTGACTTAGTTGATTAATCTGATTGTGGGGAAATCGGAATATGTTGCATGTGTAGGATTATATGGCCAGATTGGATTTGCATTTTGTAGAAATATTGATTAACCAATTGGAGCCAACATACGAGGCTAAGAACAATATATGCTGCTACAATTTTGAAATCAATCTTGTTTATGGTATCGCATGCATAGCGACAATGTAGATGTATGGAAATGATTCTGAAGTTGAAAAAGTATCATCAAGCCCTTCCCAAGTAAATATTCATTTTTACCAATGAACTGACTATTGTTCCCAAATTTGAGGAAAAAATAAAGTTCTAGTTTAGCTTTTGTCCTGCACCACCAGAAGTTGCTTTGGTCAAATATACACGTGACTCTCAACATAGTTACTACTTACTTTTAACTCTCAGATAATCCTTTTTAACTTTCAGATAATCATTTGGTATTTCATTGCCGGTTATATTTAAATTGAGCATTGTTGTATTTTGTTTGATGCTAAAACTCCGTCATAATTGGTTGTAAGAAGCACAAATGAACATGGTAAATGATCTACGTGAATTTAGGATACAGACAAACTGCCACCTTGGAAGTTGGACTTAAGCATATTGTGCTCTTATACAACTGTTTATTCCTTTTTTATTGAGGTTAACCTATTTTCATGTGTTTACTTTGGTTTGTGGTTGCAATGCTAAGGTTATACTACATGCCTTGAAGTTTAGAGTAGGCTTCAAATGTAATGGGTTGTTTTTTGCAAAAACTATGCTACTTGCTCGAGTTTGTAATCTGTCAACTCACCTCTTGCATATCATGTGGCTCTACAGGTTCTTGCGGACAAGTTTGGCAATGTTGTTCACTTTGGTGAGCGTGATTGCAGTATTCAGGTAAATATAACTGCTTCATATCCCTTTTATGTCTTCTCTGTCTGTCAGTCTGTCGCAGTCAATGAAAGCTTGTGGATTGACTTTGAATCATATAATTGTAATAGCTTGCTTCCAAGACTTCAAAATTTATACTTCAGTTTGTTGTTTAGGGGGGTTCATATCTTCCATAGATGAGAAGCCCAACATTGGTATTTAGCTCAATCAACATTCCAATTGAGGGGAAGCCCACATGGTTTTTGAGTTGAACTATGTGGATTCTTCTTATATCTGTTAACCGGACAGCCATTTTATCTCGTGTAAGCATATTTAGGCCCTCACCAGGCTTAAAGTCGCAATTTTTTGTTGGTAGTGTAATAAATTACAACTGCACAAATTCCTAGGTATACAAAAAGTTCGATGAGAATGCTCATTCAAAAAAAGATGACAAGGCACTTGCAAGGGCAGCCCAGTGTATACTAGGCTTGCGCCACTACCGGATCGGGGAGGGTCAGATGTTTCCTGTCTTACCCCCATATGGAGAGAAGTTGTTTCCTTGTGTCGAATCCTTACAATAAGATTACTTTTAGTCCTTGACAATAAGATTATTTCTAGTCCTTAACAACGAGACTAGCGCATCTTCCTTTTAGTCCCTACTAATATTTGGGGTGTCTCTGCATGCATGTTAAACATCTACCATCTTCAGTGTTTTGCTACTAGGATCGAGGTTGATTACAGAAGGCATTTCAAGAGTATGGGGTGCTGAATCTGGCTCTTTGATTACATAAAATCATATTTTAAGCTTCTGTGATTTGTAAATTGTGCGTGAGGTAAAGTGTAGGCTAAAATTATGTGCTAGAAAAAGTTCAATTCTGAACCCCTCCCCCCCTCGGCCCCCCCCCCCCCCAAAAAAAAAAAAAAAAGAAAAAAAAAAAGAAAAGAAAACAATCTCCAACAAATGAATTTTTTCTTTCCAGTCGTCCAAGCTTGCTTGTTGCAATTGCTTGAAAAATGCAAACTGGGTACCTTTCTTGGATCTTACGTTACCATTTTTTGAAACCAACTAGGTTTGTTTGGCACTACACATGCTATTCATTTTCCCAAACTCATTGGGTAACAGTTCCAAAAAAAAAAGTCTATTAAGCTTTTAAAATTGCCAAGGGGAAAATGAAATCATGCTAGTTGAATGTTGACATGTTTGATTGGAATATGACCAAATTGATGCACTATTAACATGGACAGTGATATTTTCGAAAAACTTAAGTGAAGTATCAACTCCAATTGAAATTGACTTGATTGTGCAGCGAAGAAATCAAAAGTTGCTTGAAGAAGCACCCTCCCCCGCATTAACCCACGAGTTGCGGAAAGCGATGGGGGATGCAGCGGTTGCAGCAGCAGCATCAATAGGTTACATTGGTGTTGGGACCATCGAGTTCCTTCTAGATGAGAGGGGGTCCTTTTACTTCATGGAGATGAACACTCGGATCCAGGTGAAAAAAAAAAAGCTGGTGTTCTAGTTTATGATGTCTATGGACAGGCAAGGATCAAAATGTCGTGTTGACACGTCCGAAACGTTTCGAAATTTCAACACTCCGAAACGAAACAGTAGTTGAATCACAAAATTCCAGTGTTTCGGTCGAAACGGTACTGTTTCGGACCGTTTCAACGAAACGGCATTGTTTCGAACCGTTTCGATCGAAACAGTACCGTTTCGACAAAACAGTGATATATTCGGTTCATTATGAATAATTAGATTTAATACCCCATTATAATTACATTTAATACCCACTGTAATTACATTTAATACTCACTATAATTATATTTAATATCCCACTATAATTACATTTAATTCCCACTGCTCTTCTGTCTTTTATAATTTTTTTGTTATAAGAATAAATAATTACACTTAATACCCTACTATAATTATATTTAATACCCATTATAATTATATTTAATACATACTGTAATTATATTTAATACCTCACTGCTGTGCAAGTTTTTTGCTTTTTTTTTTGTTATAAGTATTAACAATTACATTTAATACCCTAATGTAATTATATTTAATACCTACTGTAATTACATTTAATACCCACTGCAATTACATTTAATTTTTAAGTATACATAAGTATCATTAATTTAATTTGATACCCTTCATTATTAGTATTATAATAAAATAGTATTATTAATTGGATTATATTACCGTAATAATATGATTTGGAGTAACTATTGTCATCATATTTATGTCACATATGGAGTTTCTCTAAGTAGCTACCCAGAGCCTACACCGATGTATGAGCCTGCTCGACACTCCACAGGGGAATGGATGTAACCATGTAAGTATGTACTCATTAGCATTTCATGTGTATTATAAGACCTTAATATTATGTAAAAATGTGTTTATTTCATAAAAATTAAGTGTTTGAAACTAATTTAAGTGACTTTCGCCTCAAGTCAAGCCTTTTTTCCCTCAAATTTAAATTTATTCTTGTATAAATTGATGTTAACCTAATAAATATATTGAATTAATAAATTATTTAGCATATCTTTATAAATTAATGGATTGCATTTGTGTTTCTATGCGTTTCCATATTTTTTCTGCGTTTTCATTGCGTTTCCGAAATGTTTCCGAAACGTTTCTATTTTTGAGTTGACCGAAACGGTACTTCGAAACGAAATTTTGATCCTTGTGGACAGGTTTAACTGGGAAATGTGTAATCTTTGTTTTCCACTTTGGCAATAATCCAGGTAGAGCATCCTGTGACAGAAATGATTTCCTCTGTTGACCTGATAGAAGAACAGATCCGTGTAGCCAGGGGGGAGAAACTGCAGTACAAACAGGTACTGAGTAGGAATACTTAAAGTATCTGGGGAAAATTAACAACCTTTTATATTCGTACAAGGTTTTTCTATCTACAGGAAGATATTGTGCTTAGAGGGCATTCAATTGAATGCCGTATCAATGCAGAAGATGCTTTCAAAAATTTCAGACCTGGGCCAGGTATTTATTATGTTTCTGTGTGGCATGCTTGCATGAAGGCTTGTTTAGAATGTATATCTGTACATTCTTACATCCCTGTGAAAACGAAAGGGTTCTTCTCCTTTATTTTGTTTTTCAGATCACGTTTTACAGCATTGGGTACAGAGAGGCCTTGCTCTCTTTAATGAATAAACAAAAACAAGGGTTTGTGCAAAGCCTTGATTAAAACCAGTGCCCAAAACATGGTTGTTAGAGCTGTAGAGGCTGAATAACATTTACGAGAGTTTCCCCTTTTTGTATTTTATATTCACTATCCTTACTGAATTTATGTTGTTGCCTTTAGAGTAACTGTTCAACTTGCCATATTTTTTTAATTGTCTTTGCTTCATCATCTGGTGATGGGATGCTCTCTTAATACTGGAAAAAAGGAGGAAAGAAACTAGGACTAATAAGATTTCCAAACTTTTAGAGACACTCACATGTTTGGATTGAATATCAGGGAGAATAACAGCATACTTGCCATCTGGAGGTCCATTTGTGAGAATGGATAGCCATGTTTACCCTGATTACGTGGTCCCGCCAAGTTATGATTCCCTACTTGGAAAGGTTTGTTAAATTTCATTTATGTTTTCTTGCATATAATGGGCTCGTTTGGTAGATGTATTATGAGGGGATTAAATATTGGATTGTACTATTTTTTTTTTAATCGGGCCTAATACTTTGTTTGGTAAGCAAATTTGATACCGTATTAATTTCAAAAACGTATATTGATCGTATACTTATCGTATATTTTTTATACGATAGCTCTGTATTATGAAAGTTTTTTAATACCACCAAAAGATGTGGTATTATAATCCAACTCAAACGTATTATTCTACGCATTTACTATTATAACCCTTTAACTAATAAAATCAAGTTGTCATCAATGTAACAAACACTGATTGAGGATATTTTTGTTAATTCAACGTTAATACGATAAAAAAATTCTCTAACCAAACAACCGTTTGGATTAAATAACTACTATCCAACACTTATATTGTGTATTACCAAACACTTGATAAAATTACGTATTATTCTAATACCCTATTTAATCTTGTCTTTTGTCTTTCCGTATTGTATTAGACTGTATTACTATTTCTAATCCATCCATTTCCAATACGGCAACCAAACGAGTCCAATATGTATAATAGCTCCTTGCTTTTTTTTTTTTTGTAATTTTCTATGATTTTTATGAATATGTTATGCATGATACATCTTTGAAATGTGCAAGTGTGGATAGATGAATCCCCAAATGGATGCTTTTGTGCTTGTTTTCTAGTTTGTGTGGGCATATAAAGAGTCATGCATTATGTATTGATGATTGCACAAGGTTAGAACCATGTTTATTATTTATGACTAAAATATATAAGCTACTTTCTTTTTCTTATCTGAGCATCCTAAAATCCTGTAATTCTTCAAATTATATTTTAGATGTTTATGTTTTAGACATATTGATGGTGAGTTAAGATTGAACTATATAACAAGTAGTGAATTTTTTTTTTTTTAATTGAGACAAAAAAAAATTGAAAAATTAAGAATATAGAAACTAACATGAATGACTGGTTGGTGTTAAGAGTGGAATTATATTTATTTATCATTAAGGGTAGTCTAGTCTTTTCCTTATTGTAGGGTTCCTTATATATTGTCTCTTGTACTCTCTTTTCATTATTATGGAATATTAGAGTGCCACATATTTTTTCTCTTCTTTTATATTCTCTACGTGTGAACTCTTTTTTTTGCACTAGTTGATCTATGTTTTCATTATACACCAAGAAACGGGACCATCGTGATCATGTTGATGGATGGAAGCCACGTTTCAATGAGCTAAAAAAGGAATGATGCCACTAGGCATTTCCCAAAGAGCAATTCTACTATTTTTCTGGATAGTCAAAGAAAAAGAAAATCTTGAAGGGAAAGCATAATGACGTGTGTGTATCGGGGGTCCAAATCCCAATCCATCTGTGAGATTATAAGTTCTCTCTTGCGTTATCTATAGATAAGAACGAATTGGATCTGCTCAACTCGACTGATATGATAGATGAAATGGTAGCCTGTGTTATGATTTAGTTAGGACTTTGTTTCCCTTCCACTCTCATTGTATAGGTTAGGGAAGACTCGGGTGGATTACCTTTGGGAGCTAAGTCAAAGATCTCGGTGGTCTTGTGAGTGGTGGAGAAACTACGATTGCATTTTCTTTAGGAAGTCCCATCTTGTGAGGTTTAACAGGCAAAGAAAATGATGAATACTTTTCCAGTTCTGATACCATGAAAGAGTGTAAAAGACTTTGTGGGGGAAGGATGTGTATATCATAGCGAGAGATCATCTGTTTAATTAAATAGAATACAAGGCCCCTTGAGCGTTACACATGGAGTAATTAAATGAGAGTTACAAGTAATAAAAGTGATTATTAGGACCTATCTTTCTAGAGACATATGGAAAACTGTAAATATTGTCCTATTACTAACAAACATGATTGCAATTTGTTGTTTTTGCTTCCAAATCAACGAGAATACAGCTCTGAAAGTTGGCCTTCTTTTCACAGAAAAACCCCAGTCTGAATAGTAAGTCACAAGAAATCTTCTTATTCCGTATCTGTTACTAAGAAGATAATTATCATCATCCAATTAGTAAAATTGCGTCTGTTAATATCTTGTATGCAGGTAATTTTATAGTTTGGGTATAGAAAGAATAATGTCTTGACTTTTGAAAACATTCTAGGATGGACTGAGAAGGAAAGTTCGATTCTCAAACTGGAATGAAGGGGAGTACTACCACTAGAGGATTTTTCCAAAATCTTTCTGATATTTAAGTAACAAAATTATCATCTACCTACCATGGAATGGAGCTGGTTTCTCATAAATTATTTATAAAGTTATTGAATTTTGATGTTTAGAAAGTCGACCATGTCTAACTTGCTCATTTTAGGTTCTTTTAACCATTGTTATTGTTTGGTTATAAAGGTGCACTTATATGGAGTATTTGTAGTCATATATCCATCTCCACCTAGGCTTTGCCAAAGTGTTCAATTGTTTGCTTTTTCTGATGTAAGAAATTGATTTATGAGGCTATTGCAATGAATATATACATGGATGAAGTAATTTATTGTCTACTACATGCATATATACAAACACACACACACACACATATTATTTTCTTTTGGAAATAAAGAAGCTGAGTTTTGAATAGATCTACTTATTTTTTATGGTAACAAGTAGCTCTAATTATTTAACATGTTATTTTAGCTTATTGTATGGGCTCCGACAAGAGAGAGGGCAATTGTACGCATGAAAAGGGCTCTTGATGACACTATTATTATAGGTAAGTAAAAGCAGTTTTCAATTCAGATCATGCCCTGTACTAATGCTTATTTACGTTTTCTTTCATTTAGAACTGTTGGTAGGGTGGCAAGGCATTCCTCCTTTTGGAGGTTCCAACCCCTAAATATGTCTTTGTATTTGTCTTCACATTTGTGCATTACACTGGAAGAAACAAAAAGGAGAACCCTCTATTACATTCACCAAGGTTCTGGGTTTCTAGTTCTTATTTGATGTTAATTCCTTATTTGGTTGCTGCACCTTGTCTCATCTCACAACTGGTTGTAACCCGAAGGGTCCAGCCCGCCATAGACAATTTTCTGTCATCTTGTTGTCAATTGATGTTTCATATTTCTGGCTTGTTTTCAACGTGTGCCTTTCAACTTACTCTCTTTGCTTGTGCATGTACTCTGATGGCCGCATATTATGTATCACCTTTTTCTGTCCATTCATTTGGTGCATTTACTTATGTGCTTTTGAATACAGGCAAATGCACATATTTAGTTAAGTCTTTAGAAGTTTGAATTTATTGATTCAATGTCAGATTATCAGTACTCTTTTTGGCTTTCTATTTATGTATCTGTTAAATAAAGTTTTTCTTTCTACTGGCAGGGGTTCCAACAACCATTGATTACCATAAACTTATCCTTGACATTGAGGTATGCAAATCCCTCAGTGTTGTTAAAAGGTGTTCTGGTTGTGCAAATCTTAAATTTTGTCGTAAAATGGTTGTATATTTAGCTTTGCCTTATACTTGTTCCCTGTGTGCCATAGGACTTCAAAAATGGTAAAGTTGATACCGCTTTCATTCCAAAGCATGAACAGGAGTTAGCTGCGGTAAGGAGCTGAACCGTAGTCTTCAGTGCTTTTTTTTAATTCTTGTCATTTTTTACTTATTTTGTGGTACATTTATAGTTGTCAGTATCTTATGATACGCGATACATATCCAATACAATACTTGAACGATACGTATCTACAAGTTAGAACAACCTCATTTCACAAGATTTTTTCTAACGAAATGACATCATTTCGCCGATTTGTTGATTTTATTTTTTGGTTTGACGTCAAATAAAGAAATATCTCGATTATCTTCTTCTCTCAAGACCCTCTCTTTGTTTCTCATGCATCTTATTTTCTCATTCAAGCATACAAGATCTTACCTATATTTCTATCTCTTTTGTGAAGACAAATGATTTTTTCTCTTTTGATCTCTATTGGACACATGAATCACACGAAATGATATTTATATTGAGAATATATATTTACATAGTTTATTTTTTTGGTGGGGGGTGTATTTAATTAAAATTGAGCGTATCTTATGATACACGATACATTATTTTTTTGAAAATTGATAACGCGTGATACATGTTTTGATAACCATGAGTATATCATTATTATAATTTCCATTATTTGTGGGTTTTATTATTATTATTGTTATTATTTTTTTTTTTTTTTGGGGGGGGGGGTTAGTATGATTTGAGAATTTTTTCTTATCTTGATAAATTGCTCTGATGCACAGGACATGAATTGCATGACCCCCCTATTTTCCTGGATCATCTCACACTTAATGATCCTGTTCTGGATTGGGCAAGTGTAATAGTTCTTGATTAATTGGATTCTTTGTTAACCTTTGCGTGCAGCCCCAGAAAATTGAAGCAGCAACTCCTCCTAAAGAGCTGACTAAGGCTGCTGCTTAAAAGGATCTCTATGGGGTAGTAGGAGGGCTGAAATCAGCCTGCCGATCTCAGTCTGAAATTTGGTCTTTGCATGGCTACTGTCATTGGAAGAATAAAATCTTTTTTTTTTTTGTTGTCAGCTGAGGTTTAATGAATACAATCTTGATCACAGGTTGCTTGTATTTGTTTGTTTTTCGGAAATTAAAATTAGATAGTGGTATTTTTTTTTTGAGTGCCCCTTGTGTATTTCCGTAAGGATTTTGTTTCTTTTTTGGGACATCGAAGTGTTCGTTTGAAATATGATGTTTTATAATCGAAGTTTGAATGGGAATGCCATATGACCAATTATGGTTATGGATCAAGGGATACACTTTCTTTCATTCTCTATTATCTGTTCTATACTACTTTAAAATGTTAAGATAAATGAAAAAAATTTTGGACTAAATTATCCCTACCAAATTATTTAATGACAATTGTGACTTCATAGATAATGCAATTGTGACAGTTACAAACTCTTCGCTATTGGGTTACTGTTACAGACGCTTCGTATCTTTTATTAAATGTATCACTCGACTTATTGGGTTCTCAACCATACCAATACCTTATGGCTTAACCCCGAAGATGGTTCCCGTGAAAATGGTCCTCCGTCATTTCAATACCAAGTAGATGGCAAGCTGGGAACCAGACATACTTGCCTGACAATATATCGTTTGTCATCCCAAATCGACCACTTAATCTTCCCTGCCTCAACGAAAAAATTTGCTTGTATATGTATTAATTCTCTTTCTACTTGTATTGTATTATAGGTTCTGCCCACAGTTCCTTGGTAGATCTATGTTAAAAGTTGTTCTCAGATGCTTTGAGCATTTTCGTTCTCACATGCTTTTGGTTGTTGATATGTAGGTGATTATGAACTTATCCTTAGCATGTGGAAAAAAGATGGAAGAGCATTTTTGAGGTCCCTCTGTCAATAGTATGCCAACTAGGGCGTTGATTTTGGTCGTTTAATGGTATGCCACCCATGCCTCAACCTTTATTTGTGATCACAAAACTTTCTACTATTACTAGAGTTGAACTTCAGTTCCTTGTTTCTATTTCTATTACAGATGGTACTAGAAGACTTGGTGTTTACAACATTGTGGTAGTGCTCCTAATTTGTCACCTCGATTAATCACTCATGAAGTTTAATATTGGATATTATCTTAGTAGCCAATTTCTATTAGCCAGCTACTAACTGATTGCTTCATTTATCATCACCGATTTAAATATAGATGATATCATCTTTGTGCCGGAGGTGCATTTTTTTTCTGCAATTGTTGTAAGTTTTGCCTTAAAGCCTCTATGTGTGGGATTTTATACCGATGATATTAAAAGTGCCCACATGCCACAAGAAGTAGACATTAGATAAAGTTATAAAGCTATTGATACTTTTATTACTTACATGTGAATTCCATTTACATCATTCTAATTTCCCACATTGGTGGCTTTCGTGGTGAGAGTGCAACTCTTGCTAAAAGTATTACTGTTGTGCAAATGAAAATACCTTTCAATATCTTCTAAAGGATGCTTCAAATTTCTTCAAATGCTAGCTTGTCATCATCACTATGGGTAGTAAGTGAAGGTACAAATTGCTTTAATGAACTATCCTTGAATAAAAGTTTAATGTCATGTTGGTTTATCTTCATGTTACAATTCAAGCATGGTTCCACTGGTTGGACCGCCATTGGCAATATCAATGGGCTATACTACTAAGACCTTTCAATTGGGTGATATCATCCACAAGTCTCTGTGTGTGTGTGTGTGTGTGTTTTACATAGATGGTTGCTAAGTAGTTCATGGGGATTATTGGGAATAAATTGTGAAGCTAATGATATCATTTTTGTGTTTGCTAAATTGTTAGTTGAGATAATTGAATGGAAAGAAATATATTGAGGGTTGGAATTCAAATGGGGTTCATCAACCTACTCCCTCTCCCATATATATATATATATATATATATATTTCAACATTAAGGCCATGACTTACAACAAGCATGCTCTTTTCTTAAATTTCCATTACATTCACTTAGTGTTTTTTGTCAAACATAGGTGGTGGATACTTTTGTTGGTATTTGAGTTATTGAAAATTCGCTATTTTTAAAATTTCAATGTTAGACACAGTATCATTTCATGTTAGTTTGTTAAATTAGATTCTTTAAATTAAGGGTCTTCTAATTGTTTAGGTTATGGTTACTTGGTTACGTTGAATGAAGCATTGATGATTACTTGTAGTTTTAATGCAATTCATTGATAATTGACCTAATAGATAGACATACGCTTAACATATGAGGTTTTTTTTGGAGGGGGGGGGGGGGGCAAAGAACTATAAGATTTTACTGGAGGAACATTTTTGATCCAACTGATCATTTGATGTGGGTGGTTGATAGCTCCAATCTTAGAAGCTCCAATCTTAGAAGGTTAGATGATTGCAAATACGAACTGGATAATTTTTTGAAGAAAGAGGTATATCTCATTCTGACTCCTTTTTGTATTATGTTATCTCTATTATCACTTCACTTTGTAAAATTTGAGTCAATCTACGAATAGGTAGCATACTTGATGTATTTTACAAAAGGTTTACGCACCTTATAAGGGATGACAACGTTTATTTTTTTTATTTTTAAGTTCTATGTGATTGAAGACATATTGAATTATTACTCGCACATTCTATTTTTTCAATTTTTTATATTGCATCTTCGTGTTTGTAGCAATGATATTGTCATTGTTGTGAGGTAAATCACAACCAAAAATATGGTATGCCACTTTGTTTTGCAGCCCATGATTTGGTACAATCTCAATTTTGTGGTTTCTAATTTTACTGTACACAATATTGCATGCATCCATGTACTGCACCCATTCTTATTATAGGTATAATACGAAATCGATTCATGGAGACAATGGGTAGAAGGGGGCAAAACTGAGCTAGAAGGTACTTTTTTGATCTTATCGAAGTACCTCGTTATCTTTGTTCCTCCACTAAGTGTCACTGGTGGGGATGCCGTTACGGAGCAACCGAGGGAGAGGATAAGTCACATGTGTATGAAGGGAAATGAGGGGGAGAGTTTTGCGATGGAACTGTCTTGATTCAAACACCAAATGAATGGACATATTAGAATTGTTAAACAAATGAGTTGAGATGAACACAAAACCTCCTGAAAGCAAATGGTAATGATGCATTTCTCAGTTATTATCAACGGTCCAATGGTAGACCTTGTGACTTAGTGAAAGCAAGGTGGGAAAAAATTTAATTAAGGGTTACTGTGAGGAAGTTAATGTTTGATGTGTGGTACGTTGATGTAGAATTTTAGAAGTTATTTTTTGGCCTAATAGCATTTGTTTGCATAATTAAGTTTTAATTCTTTTGATACAAGTTACAATTTGATGGAGTCAAGTTTCTCTTTTAATATCTGCCTTCAAAATTATAAAAGTGCTACATGAAAGCTCTTCAAATAGCAAGAATCCTGCAAGCACAAACGCTCAAGTAGCCCCTCCGTGTTACTAGGGACAATGGCATTCGAAGAAGGGTTGCTGAAATTGTTTGCGTTGGTGACGAAGACCAAAGAGAAGTGTTATTTTTTTGAATTGGGAGTGGGGTTTATAATCGACTCATTGATTTTGGTTTTATTTAATATATTGACTTTTGTAGCCTAATGTGACTCAAACACCACCTCTAATCCTAGCTATCTCTTACTTCCAGTCTATTTCAATGTCTTTCTCCCAAAGTGTTTCCTTGTTTGTTAAAATAATTTTCTTTAAGGACGTGTTTTTTTTTCGTTCCTAGCTATGGATGTAAGAGTACGATCATTTGTTATTTCAAGTGAATTTTGTCACTTTGCTCATTTATTTATCTTTTGCTTTTCCATACATCTTTCATCATATTCCCAAATTGATTCAATATTGAAGAAAAAGAAAAACTTACAAATGAAAAGGGAAAAAAAATGAAATACAAAATGGTTCACATGCAATGCACGTGTGCATCAACTAGTGATGTAAAGTAGTCAAATAGCAGTTCAAATCTACCACATCCATTTATCCTAGATTAATAAGTGTGACTCAATTTGCACAAGGAGTTTTTATGAGCATCAAGGAATACACTACCTTCTATAGTCAATGCATTCAAATACCAGTTCTGGCTCCAGTGAACAGACTAATATTATCCCCTTGGCCTGTGGGTATATAATCAACCTCTCTTTTGAATTTTTAGTGATGCATTCCAATCTCTGACTCTTCTTTCACGTAAGATGTAGGTTATTTTTAGTCAATTGTGCTATAACGGCTCAAGTAAAATCATATGATTAAATTTGATCATAATTAATTAAATTTGTTTTTAAATGAGTCACTACTCAGTTGAGTTCAACTTGTACCTTGGATTATGTTTGTGAGTTTTGGAGATTGAAGAATGAGATTCAGGAGAGAAAAGAAAAGTAAAGAATGTCCTTGTTTGGGAGTTTATTACGAGAGAATAAAAAAAGAAAGAAGGGTAAATATCACAATTATTCCTTAAATTTTCTCTCTTATTTTAAAAGGTCATTGAACTTTCAGTTATTTCAATTTAGTCTTTCAACTATCAATTTTGTATTAATAAAATTATTCTGTCCATTTTACCCATTAGTGCCTCCATTTGTTCTAATGGGAAAAATGAACGAAAGGACTTTAGTGACACGAAATTGATATGAGAAAATGTCCATGTGTAGCAACTTTTTAGATTTTTAGTGCACAATGACTCTTTTGGGACCAGAGGTCTATAAAAAAATTAGTAGACAAAAATACACTTTAAGGATGCAGTTATTGAGTAAAGATCATCATAACATTTCCAACTCTTCGTATTCACTTTCCTAATTATTTATAAAATTTGAAAACAAACTTTTGGAGCAAAAACGTAATTCACTTCCCTAATCACTCATTGCTACAAATCAAGAGCAAACATTCAAAATTTGTGGCCTATCAAACACGATTCTAGATTCCAAATTCTATTGCCTATCA